TTTTTTTTTTATAATTTGTTTACTTCTTCAATCTATTCAAGTCAACTGTCAAATCTACGAAATATTCCTGTTTACTGGTGACGTGGCCATGAAGAAGGTGTTATATTTGTTTTTCAAACACTTGACAATAACAATAATTATTGTGCATATTTTATTGTTATTTATTGTTATTGTTATTCGGCAAAATATCAAATGGCTAATTATGATTAGCAGTTGGCATATAAATTCGGGCAAACAATTTACCATTGAGGGATGCTCGATTATAAATTATTTTGTACAATTAAATGTGGTTAATAGTCTTCTTCGCTTCTCTTTCCTTCCCAACTAAGTGTTGCCCCCCAGAGCTTACTTCGCCAGCGATAAAATTCGTAAAAAAATCGTGCAGAAGCCAAACATGTAACTGAACTAAATTCTATTCACATATTTTCTTTTCTATCATATCTATGATATATAACTTTTTATTTTTTACTACTTTATTATTTTTATAATTATTGTTTATATTATTATTTTATGTTTTTTATTGTTTTTGTAACTCATTTTCATAAAGATTTTGAAATCCTAAGTTTTTTATTCAAAATATTCTTTGTTTATCTTTGCCCATGGCTGACCATCATAGTCGTGATTGTCCAAATGTTTGTCATTAGCGTAACACTTGTGCATAGCTTGGGAAGAAAGATCGGACCATGTCAAGGAGTTCAGAGGCAAACAAATCTTGCGATCCTTCCAGCTTCCTTCTCATAGTTTTACGGGGATTCTTTGAAATTTTGCATTTCTGTACCGTTCTAGCAACGCATTTGAGTTTTTCGAGGTAAAAAATAGTATAGGGTACAGTTTTTTGGAGCCGATTAATCTCCAAAGGGTCTATGACTGGGTGAGCCTGACAGGCTTAGATGGGATTCAATTTCTGGATAGAAAGAGTTATGGTATGGCGTTGCCTAGCACTACCTCAACCCCCCACCCCATTTCCTCGACTTTCTTTCAGCAGATTTGAAGAAAATTCGTGATCTTCTTGAATAAAAAGGAAGGAAATTGACGAGACATCCTGCTCCGCATCATCAAATCCCAAAGGAAGGGTATATTATGTAGTAGTAATTCAGTGGTACGTCAATATCATTCCGGAATACGCCTATACAGTCAACTTCCATTTTGAATTGTAGTCTTATTTGGCTGCTATTCCATCTATACATTCAATCAATATTTTGATTGATTGGTAAGCCAACGAACAAAGCAGGGTTTCTATCCCTCAATAAATTTGTTACTGGTAAAATAACTCAGATATGGCGATAGGTATGAGTAGAGGTGGAGAAAAAGTAGAAATTCGATCAAGGGAGGTGAAACTGTGTTGATATCCCAACTTTGTTATACTCGGTAACTAGATTTTATTCTAACACCTGATTTAGCAATTGCTTGGTGAATTCGCCATTCACCCTAATGATTTCCGGGTTGACCCGTCTATTTGTTATGGTCAATACATCGAAGTTATGACGCAGAGTATTTGTCAAACAGCGATACGGAAATTCCTGTTTACGAAAAACACCTACCTTTTTCCTAATTTCTATCAATACTTACCAATTCTCTGCTCAAAATATTAATCCCTTCACAAATGATGAGAGAAAAACTTAGCCATGTTGAATTCCTTTTGGAATACGCCCCGCACTTGACCTATACTTGGAATTGTTAAGACATTTCAATGCTACAGAAAATTGCTGGGAAGGGACCATTGGGTAAAGTTATAGGGCGAATTCTATAACTCAACACCTTCGCTAACATTTATTCAAAACTATCCCTTCTCATGCTTTTTTTAAATTATAAGGATTTCTTACAATTTTAGTCAAATCTATGTGAATCAAGACTTCAGAGCGAAATTCAGACCAGAACGGTACGAGCACTGAAATTTTCGGGAACCTAGAATGGAACTCATACTTTTTTTGATATTCACTATTTATTTGTTTATTTTTCACTTGCTATAAACAAGTAGTAATTAAAATAACAAACACAAATCAATTAAAGTACTCAAAATAGTAAAAGTTAATAGCAGATTCAAGAAAAGAAGAGTCAGTAAAATTTTTACATCAGATAAAATAAATATAAAATAAATATGTATTTTTACAGGAACCTAACGATTCAAGTAACAAGTGATGGTACTAAATCGGACGAAGATCATGAGCTTATTGTGGAATGTATGCATGAAGATATCTGTAAGGTAAGCGGATTTCTGCTGCTGTCGTGGCGACTTAATCAATATCCATGATTCGTACAGATGACCGACGTCTTCTGAATGGGGGTATTTTGCATCTTGAACGTTCACATTTTGTTTTTTCACCATGCTTTTTGTATGTTCAAATGGTGGTGTTCATTTTAATGGCCGTATTCGAAATTCGTTGCGATAATCGCCTATCAAAACGTGTCGCCATTCTGGTGGCGGCCAGACGGAACTGGTTTTTGCAACTTATTAATGCATTGTCAACAGTAATTCACCTAAAACTTCATCGATTTCAATCAAAATATCGTCAACATAGAAAAAAACACTAATTTGGTCATAAATCGGAAAAAATTTGAGCAAAAGGAGACTTTCAAGAGAAATCATTTCTTAGATTCGATGGTGAAGGGAATTCCCAAATAGGAGGCCTTAGCCGAAGATAGAGGACGAAGGGAGGGTACAATGAAAGGCCAAGTTAAGCCCATAATCTCACACGTTACGGTTATGCCACCTCTTCCATCTAATCCATTTTTCCAGCAACGAAAAGATCCCTCGGGATCATCGCAATAGTTATTAGGTCCTCTTTGGGAGGCATCTAGTCCCAAAGGATCCCAAGATTACGTAAGTAAATTCTAAACTTCGAAGTGATACCATTTGAAATACCCACTGTTTCCAAGGTTCCCAGTGCTTGGAAATCTGTTTGTTTATTTATCCAGTTATTAAAATACACAAAATGATGTGTCAAATAATAAAAAATAGGAGTTTGATGAGAACACAAAAATAAAAAAAAGAAGAGAAAGGAAATTCAACTTTTAGCTGAAATTGAAGAAAATTTTGACTAGAAAAAAGGGAAATGTTAAGAAAAGGAAGTAGGCGAGCTACGTCAAGGTGCACTTGGTGAGAAATAGGCGGCATTTTTTCCAAATTTATGGGTAAACAAGTGAGTCGGTGAATAGATAAGAGTAAAATGGGCTTTAAAAGTGAATAGAATCTACCAAAAGTAATAAAACTAGTTCAGGTAATCCACTACCCAAGTACCATCAACTTCTCGCCTGAGAACAACCATACAGCAACATTCGAGGTCGTCATCGAGTCTCGGTTTCTTGGTGTTACTCATTTGAATGTAACCGTCGGTGATGAGTTAGTTTGTGATCAATTCTATGATAATAATTAAAATAACAAGTAATATTACCAAAAAGATTACTTTATTAATATTTGCTGAATCCCACGAAGAATGCGTCACGTACTTCTTTCCCATAGCGGTTCTTAAGAGCTTGACTTGAGCGGGATTGCCTATACTGTAATCAGATCCGCTGAACTCTGTCAAAGTAGTAGTTCAGCAGTCGTGTTTTGGTTATTGCTGGGAGTTATTCCCAAGAGGCTACCCTGGGTGAGCGGTTCGGGTACCAGAAAGGGTACCTGTGTAGGCTAACCCCCTTGGTCACCTTGGCCATCACCACACTAGGCCGGAATGCTGTAAAAACGGGAATAGGAAGGGGAGGACTGGCTTGTTTCACTGAGGTTTCTCTAGGCATCGACAAGTGTTCAGCCAAACCAGGCTTTTCAACTTCAATTTCCAACTTCTTTCGTGTGGGGAACTGCTTTCCAATTTCCATCGTGTGGTCGAGTGGGGAAAGCCAAAATCATGCTTTTGTTTACCATCGAATTGCAACACCATGAATGCAATGGTTACTGTAATCGTATGAAAACTAGCTGAAAGAAGATTTTCAGAAAACCAGTTTTCTATTGACTATTGTTCACAACAAAGCAAAACCCAGACAATTTTGAGTGGGCTGAACTATGTGGTGGGCTTTAATGAGGGGGTATTCATTTATTTTTTAATAGTAACCACTCGAACAAACCGGTAAGCTATTGAAACACGGAACATACAAACCGATTCCGATATGTATTGGGGTAAGAACGTCCATGGACTCAATAAGGCTACCTGAGATGAGCCATGCATTCAGCTTTCCATCAAAATGCCCGAGGTGCAGTAAGGAGAGTAGGTACGTAAGCTAGTCATGTACGAAGNAATTGCAACACCATGAATGCAATGGTTACTGTAATCGTATGAAAACTAGCTGAAAGAAGATTTTCGGAAAACCAGTTTTCTATCGACTATTGTTCACAACAAGGCAAAACCCAGACAATTTTAAGCGGGCTGAACTAAGTGGTGGGCTTTAATGAGGGGCATTCATTTATTTTTTAATAGTAACCACTCGAACAAACTGGTAAGCTATTAAAACTCGGAACAAACAAACCGATTCCGATATGTATTGGGGTAAGAACGTCCATGGACTCAATAAGGCTACCTGAGATGAACCATACATTCAGCTTTCCTTCAAAATGCCCGATGTGCAGTAAGGAAAGTAGGTACGTACGCTAGTCATGTACGAAGAGCTTTCTGGGTAGACAAATTATGAAGAGTCTCTCAAAAATACAATAATACGTAGCAAATACATCAGGAAATAAATTGGAACTAAACAAAATAAAATGAAGTATAATCCTACATCAATAAATAGGTACTGGAAGGATACCAAACTCGGCTCGTCCTTTTACGGTTGGATCCCATGGGGTCCAGAAATAGAGCCACAACCAGCGCTTTGAGAGTTAAGCTACCTACGTGATGTACCCTTTGACCCAATGACTCTTTCTAAACCGTTTTTATCATCTAACTTTCGAAAAATCCTCCAAAATTATGAAAACTGCCAACTACTCCTCCGTATTTCGATCAATTCGATCCTGCTAGATGGCAAATCCATGGCGTAATCTTATTTTCAAAAAAAAAAAGGAAATTTAGTCTAGTTTCCTACGATATTTTCGAAGTAATAAGGGCAATTCCAGAGTTCTGCCAGGCTATCCCCTTCGTCTTCTTCGGTCGGATCGAGAAGCCCAAGTAACGAAGTATTTTAACATCTTTCTAGGAATCTTCATATTCATCATTTCAACAATGATGGGAACTCAGCTGGAGGTATGCCGTTACGGTATCTTCCTTTCTGGACATGTTGTACAGTAATCTGGTTCTATTTCAGCCAAAACGGATCATCGGCATCGCTCGTAAACCAATTGGTCCCACAATTGGATTTTTCTGTCAATTCTTGGGAATGCCAACGGTAAGATGCCACTTTGTCTCTTCATAAGCTGACGGTTTAAGCCTCTCCAGTCTCGCTCCCGGCTGGATTCCCAACCAGCTAGCTCAGATCAGCTACTCTCCAGCCGTCTGTCTTCTGAGCTAAGGGTGTGCAACCTGGCTATTTTCAGAGCTGAGAGAACGAATGAATTGTTAGGTGTAGGGTTGGTCCCTACACCTTCTAACAATTCATCCGTCCTCTCATCTCTGAAAATTCGTTCTGAGAATGGCTAGGACTTCATATTGCAATCCTTCAAATCCTCGTCTTCAGATTGGTTTTCTGGTGGCCAATTTCGGTCTCCCAGACGACGCGAACTCGTTAAAAATGGCACTGTTCGCCACGTCCACCTGTCCAGGTGGAGGGAAAAGCTCATTTTGGACCATCATTTTCAGTGGAAATCTTGATCTCTCCATTTCAATGACGTTCACACAGACATTGGCTGCTCTATGTGAGTCGGATAAGTTTATGAGAATCAATAGAGTTTTCTATCGGTTTTTGAGAGCCTACTAGTTCTTGAAGCAGATTACTTCTCACCAACTCGTGCAAAAGCTAATACTGCCATCTGTTTTTGATTTGTAGTCACTGCTTTTGCATAAACTGTGTTGCATATCGAAGGTTGCAACATCAACAAATCGATTTACTCTAGAAATGCTTATTGATCAAAAAATAGATTTTTCAGTTATGATGCCGTTATGGATGTCAACACTCGGACGACACTTCACAGATGCACATGTTCGAATACCTTTTCTTAGGATAGTTGAAGTTAGTTCAGTAGAAACCTTCAGATTCAGATACTCCTATTGTTCCGGACCTCTTATCATTTAATCAGAATGGTTCATTATAGGTAGTGGGTGGGACTATCTACTCGGTGGGCGGAGTTTCATGGGTAGTGAATGAATGCGATCATGTAGGATTTGCACAATTCAAAACCCGTTACTTCATTAATTTATCTTTTTAGCAACAGAGCAATTTTCCAAATGAACCCCTCAAAACTCTTTTCATCTATTTATGCATATCTTTTGTTACATAAGTCCTATGACCACCCGAATTTTTCAAAAAAAAAAAAACGCATTTAGTTCCCAAGATTTGTTTGAAAAAAGGCCAGTCGCCTTGTTTAAATTTCACCTTAGAGCGTGATTTTCAATTGAAGGTTTGCAAGAGATTGGTTTTACATATCATCTTTTAGGGCTTGGTCGCATTCATGGTCCCAACGACTATGGGCATGATTATCACGCACTATCGCCCACAATATATTCCATGCATTCACAAATGGATTAAGGTTAATTTAACTTGTTTTTATTTTCTATCGCTAATATTGGTAACCATATTGACCACCCCTATTTTTATTTGCTAGTTATAAACTCATGGCCTCAATTACCCGTTTCACTACTTGGGTCTAGAACCAGGGGAATCTCCCACTTCTTAGTTTTTTCATCTCCTGCTCCTATTTTCTGAAGTTTGTAAAGCACGTTCAGCTTTCGAAATCCTCCTTCCTCCCCTTTTTAAGAAGAACCGGTGAAGGAATGAGCAAAGCCCTGCAACTATGAAAAACATTTAGCAGTCGGCGTGATCCACCATTGGATTTCGGAAAATTACTACCATAAATCGCGTTAATGGCTTATTCGAGGCGTAACTTCTGGGCTAGCGTGGCAGCTCTATTCAGCTGTACGTAACGTTTGATTGGGCTTTAACTATCGGGAAGGCAACAGTTTGTCGAAAAACTCATGAATTCTGAAGGATGAACCCTCTCTTGTTTTTCATCCTTCGGCCTCCGGGTTGTGCCACACATTCGACTATGATTAGGTATTTCGTCGACTTACGGCTTTGGTTCTGCGCCTTCCGAATTTGAAAAAGCGATTGACTAATCAAGCCTCACTCGTGATTGGTAGCTGTGGGGCAACTAGCTACCGTGTTCTACCAAGTGGAATCATAGCTGAGATTTACTTGCCATTATCTATATTCTTCTTCAGAGAGTCTCCTGGTGCGCTATGATAGTGCTTTCAATATTTGCAATCTATTCCAACTATTATATCTTCTGGCTGATTACATGGCGAATAGTGTTGTGCGGTTGCGCTCTACCATGGCTTGGGTGAGTTTTTGCTCGATTTTCGTTTCTTTCTATTTTGGTGAAACGCAATCGGGGTAAAGATACCCCTGAGAAATCAGAGAGTATGTAGTTTAGCCAAGAAGTACGGTATACGGAAAGCATAAACACGAATTCTAGTCTGGGCCGCGCCAAAGACCATCACTTCGGACTAAATCTGAATCCCAGTTTTTATTTGCTGATTGATTCTTGTTTATCGTTTTGTTATTTTTATTTATCGTTTCTGAAATTCCCTGGAAAATATAACAAAATCACAGAAATACCACTTAAAGAATTTACAAAATTTAACACGTTTTTTCATTCTTTCATAGTTGTGTCGTTTCAGATACATTACCGCTTTCATAGTGGCACTTCTACTTCGACAACCGTTCAAGGATGCTCTCACAATAGCTATCGAGACAGGAATTCAGAATATCGGTAATTTTCATCACTGATCATCCTGCAGAATATAGTAAAATGTTTTATTTGTTCCGATAAAGTAATAAAAAATCACACTGTAACTCTACCAACTCAACCCAACCGACCGTTCCCGGAAGCAGATTGAACTGTGCTGATAAGTAATTTTCCGGCAAAGTACGAAACAGTCCTCCCACTGAAACTGGCCTGAATCCTTAAGAAACAATCGAACAGGAAACGGAGTAAGCGGAGTAAGCGGGTATAGCAAACTATCCAGTATATACATGGAATGACCAGGTAAATACAGAATTTCTCTCTCGGAACGTTTCTATAATATTTGGGAATTCTTCCACACTTCCTCACACTCCTTGTTTCTTCTATGGTCTTTCCTAACATACAATCGACTGGGTTAGGACATAGTAGAAATTGTTGCGCAGCTTATTTTGAGTGTCATATATAGGGCGCCAATTTAGTGATAACTTTTATTTTTCAACTGATTTAATTCTGATGACTTCAGGTATTGCTATGTTGTTGATGGTATGGTGTCTACCCGAACCCGAGTCGGACATTGCCGTTACGATCATCTTCGTTACAGCCATTATGACCGATAAGCCATTGGTGATTATATGGCTGATTTCAAGACTCTATAAGCGATGCTGTAAACGGGATACCGTCGGACAGGTATCCCTTCATCCCTTTATGGCACCACAGATCAGAAATATAGCCAGAGAAAATGCTGTGAATCATTAGTTCTTTCAACCTACCCTTATTTGTTGGCTCTCAGACCAAGTTCTGCAGCGTTCTACAAAACATTTATTCTTAATTAATTCGTTTTTAGGAAGATAACGATCTCGAAAAAAGGAAAATTGGCGAAATGTCCACATCAACTATTACCACTCAGTTATCCTCATTAGAGCCTGATCCAGTGGTGAAAGGCAATAATTTCGGCATGAAGCACTGGTAATCGAGGCCTTGTGAGTGATTACTTACGTTGAAGATTAATTTTTGTGAACCTCGAATCATTTGTTTACGTGGGGCATCCTGATTGGGGGAATCGCTGAGGTTAGTGGCATCCTGATTGGGGGAATCGCTGAGGTTAGTGGATCCCACAGCCTGATTGGTGGAACGTCGAGACACACCCACTATCTACCAAGCTCCACCCATTTTACTCTGCCGATTTAAACAATTATTGGTGGATTCTCATATAAATCACATTATTATTCAGATTTTTGGCGAGTGGGTACTGTACAGCATACGAGATGTTAGCGGACAACTCCGCCCACATTTGTTTCGGCTGGACCGAGTGCTGTGATCACGATTAGAGGATGATCCTCAGAAATCAGTTGTATAGCTGCATTTGTTGTTGTTGTCGTCGGGTTTTCTCTAATAAATAATTAGAAATCATTGTACAGTGGAATCCATGTCCATACCAATGAAATCGAATTGAAACTGAAATTTTTGTAGGGAAAATCGAATTAAAGAAGAGAAGGTCCTGGTCGAACCTACCGGCACCATCTGTTCCGAAACTTTTTCTGCAGTTGGTAGGCTCGTTTATAGGAATTTAGTCCCAACATCCACTCGAAATTAAACTTGGAACTACAGCCCAACTCAACTGGCTCCTCGAAACAGCTGTTGGAAGAACTCCAAGGAGTTCCAGTGTTCTAGTGGTAAACACAGGCAAAATTGACAGTGGTTCTTTCAAAAATAAAAATTTTGGGCCTTTTTCTCCAAGACCATCGTTAAAAGTGTTGCATCTATTCTCAAAAAAAGTTAACAAGCTGAATATGACATCAGTCATATAATCCCTGCATCGCTTACTCTACTCTTCTGAATTATAGTTCAGTTCCAGCAGGAAGAAAATCTAGTGTGAATCCCTTAAATGAGACTTGGAGAGGGCTTGCTGGTGGCCGCTCATTTTCTTTCAACAAGAGCCACCCCGGCAGTCGCTGAATGCCATCGTTTTGATTGGGAGAGATCACTGAACTGATCCACCAATTGATGCAAGCAGCCTGTTTCCAGTAAAATACTTACATGGAGGGTGAGTGAACATGTACTAAATTTCCGTGGTGGGCGTGCTGTGTATGATTGTGAAGCTGTGTTACTTGTGAAAAGAACTACATTTTATTAGAAAAACCCATAGGAGGCCCAGTACCTGAAAACCAATATGACCATCCACAAACGTACATGTGCCACGTACTCTTCGGCAGCTCCCATAGGATGCAAAGCCCATGTGCTCCTTCTTATATATCGCTTACACCTACAGTACGTTTTGTTATTGTCCGTGGTTCAGTGATGGTGCTCTGGCGGCTTGTCACGAAAATCGAAAGTTCATTTTTTATTCATTAGCTTTATTTGTCGTATAATGCTACGATACGTTTAGTCTATTGCCGAGCTATTTTAATAGAACTCAAAAAAATCTTGTTTTCATATGTTCAAAACACCGAGGGAAGTACGAAGATCTGCCACGGAATGCTATTGAAAGCGAGAAAAAAAGCTTTAGCTGTTTGCAGATGTTCAATCGCTACGATAGCTTGCATAATGGTTCCACAGCCAATGTACCGACAGAAAGTATTTCTAAATCTGATAGTTGGTTTCTATGGAGGTAGAATTGTGTGGGAATCGTGTGGGAATCGTTGGAAAGATGATGTTTGAGTGAGTTTGCTGTTTTTCGTACTGAAGCACTGCACTTTCACACAACCCTTTTACAACACTCCCGTTTCTTCCTACCTGCTTTGAACGATGGTTTTTCGAAATCCAGGATAAGATATAAGAGGGTGGGTCTTTTGATACCTGGGACATATGAATGGGTGTTAGGCAGTTGAATCGAAGCAACTCCGTGGCTCTGTTCTTCTCGTATGCCAGGGAGAGGATGGGTTCTG